CAAGTCGTACCGCCGCACACTCAAGTCGTACCGCCGCCGACACCTCAAGTCGTACCGCCGTCGACACCTCAAGTCGTACCGCTGTCGACACCTCAAGTCGCGCCCCCAGTACCGACGTTTCAAGTCGCGTTTCAACCACCTGTACAACAGTTCGATCAACCCGCTAATGCACCAGTGCCTCAAGTAGAAGTTACACAAAATAACTTTTTGAACAATTCAATTCCAACAGCTCATATTTCAGGTATGAATCCACAATACACTCAATTTAATTCTGTTCAATTGCCACGTATTGATTTGCCCGTCTATTCAGGCGAGTATACGGGGTGGGCTGAATTTTGGGATATGTTCAATGCTGCTGTAGATTTAAATCCACAACTTAGTCCTATAATCAAATTTGCTTATTTGAAAAGGTCGTTAGAGGGGGAGGCTCTAGAAGTAATAACCGGCTTAGATCTTACTATAGTAAATTACAGTTTGGCACTCCAGCTTCTGACCGAACGATTCGGCCAGCCACATCAAATTATCGCTGCTCACATGCGTGCATTACGCACAGCAGACGCACCAAATTATGATACCAATTCTTTACGGAAATATCATGATACCCCGGAAAAGCACATCAGGGCACTTCGTTTATTAGGTGTACCAGAGGCACGATCCAACCCAAGCGGGGAATGGACATTAGTCACACTCAGTCAGCACATGTTACACGAGGTTAAAATCCTTGCCATAGGTCAGGTAGATTACGACACAAACCCTTCAGCAATACGTGCTTTCACCCAGAGTACACATGACTCAACACAGTTCAAGTCCAAACGATATGGGCGTCGTAATTACAATAATACTGACAAATCTTACAGTGGTACCACATATTCTGATCAACAGAAACAAAACCATGTCACACAAACTGATCACACTCATGGTAGAACACAAATTGGTGACAGAACCCCACATTGCATATATTGCAAAGGCAAGCATTACACCACAAATTGTACAAATATTTCAACTAGGAAGGATCGAGTCGAATTTATTACCCAAAATAAACGATGATTTAATTGTTTGGGAAAGCACATGTTGTCTCAATGTAAGTCGCATTTCACTTGCCGTGTTTGTAAGAGTAAACATCATACGTCGATTCATTTTGATAAATCTGGAACTGCGCAAACAAATTCAACGAATTCTAGCACGGCAAACTCGCATTTTTCACATTCAGCAAATACTGGTGAACAATCGTGTTTTACCGGGAGTGACTCGAAAATTAACTCTGACAGTCCGCGACGCGCACTGCTTCAAACCGCACGAGTTAGTACGCATTTTCGAGGTACTAAATGTGTTGCTACCGTTCTATTTGACAATGGTAGTGATAGAAGCTTTTTCACAAACTCTTTCGCACGTAAACTAGGTGTAATCCCAAATTATAACGAATTATTGAGTCTGAATTCGTTCTCCAATCCGCGTTCCGGTGTGCAGTCCATACCGACAACCGCTGTCACTACAAAGCAAAGATGGCATTAAATCCCCGATCGATGTACTGATGGTCGACTGTATTTCCGAGGGATTGGAGAACACTGTAACTTACGATATTGCACGTTTGCCACATTTGAGAGGTCTATCGTTGGCCTATCCATCGTCAAATCGATCCACATTAAACATCGATATTCTGATAGGCGCCGATCACTATTGGGATTTTGTTATACACAACTCACGCATAGTTAGTCGGTACCTACTGTCAGGGCCTTTCACTACACACAACAGGACAAACAAAACAAATTCATTCACCATTGCTTCTATCCGAGCTCATGACAGTGTAATGGATAAAATGATTGCTATTTACTGGGACCTGGAGTCAGTGGGTGTTAAAGATACGACTACAAGATAACAGGCACTCAACATTACACATGAACAACAATACAAAGAATATACCGACAAATGTTTAACGGTGGAAAATAATCAGTTTGTCGCAAAATTGCCTTGGAAAGTAAATCACCCAATTTTACCCACAAATTTCAAATCAGCAGAAGTGCGAACACGCAGTATGATTCGAAAATTAGAACCAGATTCACTGAAAATATATGATAGAATTCTTTCTGAACAGCTCAAAAGCGACTTTATTGAATTGGTTCCCAATGACGATACAACCATTGGTAATTATTTGCTTCATCGATCCGTCAAAAAGGACTCTGAATCAATACCGATTCGCCTTGTATATGACGCTTCTGCGACCACTAATAAAAACCATCCTAGTTTGAATCAATGTTTGGAGACGGGTCCTCCTTTGCTCAATTCACTGACTGAGATTCTGATAAGATTCAGGGCTATTTCAATCGCGCTGGTTGCAGATATTGAAAAAGCCTTTCTGATGATACGTCTGTCTGAAAGTGACAGAAAGTTCACAAAGTTTCTTTGGCTCAGCAATCCATCCGATATTGAAAGTAGCTTTGTGGCTTATCAATTTAAGTCAGTATTATTTGGGGCCACATGTAGCCCATATATTTTGAATGTGGCCATTCGAGCACTTACAAATGAATACAAAGATAATCCAATTGCACTTCAGCTGCAAAGGGATATTTACGTCGATGACGTAATATCAGGTTGTGATAATGAAGCACAGGCTTATTCCTACTATGAAACGTCCACTTCGATTCTAGCAACACGAAGTTCTAACCTCCGTCAGTGGAGTACTAATAACAAATATATCCACAACATAATGACAGAGGAAAACAAAGCAAATAACAAAACTAGTGTGAGCGCTCTAGGATTGAGGTGGAATACTATGTCGGACCAACTCTCAATCAAAACTCCCGATAAGCCAAAATTTGGACATCAAACTTCAAGGAAAGATGTCGTTGCTTATAGCGTGACAGTTTACGATCCCATTGGTATGTTTGCTCCTATCGTCGTGAAAGATAAGCTCATTATCCAATCACTTTAGTTAAAAGATCACCATTGGGATCAACCCATTGATTCTGACACACTTGATAAGTGGATGATATAGCTCTAGATTTATACAATATAAAAACATTGTAATT